TATGGTTTGTGTTGTGTTGCTTGAGCAACCATCTTTGTTTTGGTCAAAAAGTGCCCTGTAATTATTATTGCCACATGAGCTGATGAACACCAAAACAGAGGTAAAAGAAGATTAGCCATACATTTGCTAAGATGTCAAAAACACGACTTCAAACAAATGGAATTGGTTTTAGCCACATACACATATTTTCAAATTAAGCCTCACACACTGTGGTTTACAGTTTCTCTTTCCTTTCACAAAGTTGTAGACACCAACCAAACCCTGCCCCTACTCAGTTTTTGGCACTAAGTGGCCAAAAACCGATTTTATAGCTCAAAATCAGACTTAAATGCAGTTCCTAATTGACTTGTACGCTACAGATGATGTGAGATAAACCATCCGCACTCACTGCTGTTTCCTTTATTTGAGCTGTGTGATGTAGTTCCAAACGCTACAAGGCAGCAAATTTGTTTTTCACAAATTCAACATTTTAACTTCACGCAGACCAGCAGCGCTCATGTAAAGCTAACAGTTTTATGGCCTGGAAGTATGTTCAACTTGTTTTCCTCAGTTTTGATGATTTACCAGCAACCGATCTAGTGTTGCTAAACCTGTTGCCAATCTGTTGCGTGACCCATAGCAAATGTACTTTACACCCAGTGTGAATATGCGTTAGTTCATACAGGTGTTGACAAAGTGTGGTGTACTGTTGCGTGTGTGTGCCAGCTGCCAGGCTGCGGCTGTGTTCACTTGGATAACTACTGAACTGAAACCATCCAGCTCTGGAGCCATGATTTTGAGTATTTCAGTATATACACATGCAAGCAGAGAGCTTACTCCGCTGATGTCTAACACAAAACATCATTATCAACAGGCTTAATTGGTCCCACTGGCGTGCTGAATGACCGTGGCTAACAGACCGTGGGAGAACTTCAAACATTCGGATGATTCTGGTATCAATTTAGGGAAGAATGTGTTTCTGTGTGGATGGATGTGTGAGTGCGCTGGAATGTGAGTCAACGAAGCTGATTATAAAAACCCCAAACTGCACAGTGTGATCAAAGCCTGGTGGGTTCACACAATAAATAACCTCATGGAATTCAAGCTTTTTAGAAACTGTAGCATCTTTTACCTTTATACTGATGAAAAAGAGCATTTCCCGGGGCTTCATTTTAGATAATGACAATTTGGCAGCACTGAAGTATCCAGATAAGAGTATTTACTATAGTAATGACTGCAAAGAATGTCCTTTGGGTTGTTACAGATTTCTGTACTGGAAAGTCCAGTCGTCCATTTTCTTAACCGCTTATCCTGGTGGAGCTTATCCCAGTTGCCACAATTTATATGAAAACATCTTCGTATTATTTTTCTTACCTATTCAACATTCCTTTTCATGTCAGCCATATCCAGGAGCTATGAGTGTGAATGGCTTTCTGTCTCTCTCTATTAACCTTGTGATGTACTGGTGACCTTTCCAGAGTGCAGCCTGTCTCTTAGCCCCAGGCTTCATTAGGCTCCAGGTGTCCAGTGGGTCTAAATGTTTACATCTGGAGACTGTGAAGGTCATCAGAGTACAGTGAACTCATTATCATGTTCAAGAAACTAGTTTGAGATGGTTTGAGCTTTGTGATCAGAAAATGACTACACTGTGGTCATAAAGGGGAGTCCATATCTCCCACACTATTGCACAACCAGCAAATGCCTAAACCCAGGCTTGATGGAGCCATGCTTTCATATAATTTTTAGCAAATTCTGACCCTGTAATCTGAACATCACAGCGGAAATCAAGACTCATCAGACCAGGCAATGTTTTTACAATCTTCTATAGTCCAGTTAGAGAGCTTGTGCTAATTGTTGTCTCAGTTTCCTGTTGAGTTACTGTTGCTTTCCTTTTAACTTGAAGCAGTTTGGCTGTTCCCCTCTGATCTCTGGCATCAACAAGATATTTTTACGCAGAGAAATGCTGCTCACTGGATGTTTGTGAAATGAAGTGGTTCGTGAGTGTATACTTTATCAGTAATAATATCAGCAAGTACACGATAAACAGTTAATAGACCTTCTGTTCTCAACTGCAGCTCAGACTAATTATGTGATGAGACTTTTTCATTTCCTGCCTTTCAAAACTAATACAGTTATCTATTTATTTAACAGTAAACAGCTATATTAAACTGCACAGTGAGTGCAGGAGAGGGAAGACAGAGCGAAAATTGTAAGTCTGACAGACGGCCACTGGAGCTGCCTCGTCAGCTGACTGGCCGGATGTGTGTGTGTGTGTGTGT